CAAACAACTTCTCCCCATGATTCTTGGGGGACAGGACTCAAAGGGCGCTTTAGGTATCCATAGGTAGTTGTTTCCATTCATCCCATTTGTGAGTTTGCACCTATACAATATTATAAATCCTTTTTAAAAAGAAGTAGAACCGACTTCAAACAATACTAACAATGAGCACTAAATACCTAGCAGCAATCGCGGTTGATTTGCTGTCATTGTTTGAAGAGTTCCGTAGTATGTCACCGAAATTCATCATGACATCTATATACTCGTACAATTTGAATGGGACCATTTCGGTATAAACTCCTTTCGAACAAAAAAAGAATTCAAAAAATCCGTTTATATATGACGGAGTTATGCCCTAACATACATAAACAAATATATAAACATACGAATTGATAACCTCCTCCTTTTTGAAGTCGAAGTAGAAATTATTGGTACCTGAATAGTTCCTCAAGGAGTTAGAAGTACGTAAAACAGCTTCAGAGGGGACCACTATTTATTAAATTGTTCACTGGTTTTTATGGAGCCTAAGAAATCAGTTGTGTCACTTGTACAGGACCTATGCTGTATTGTACACCGCTTTATATCACCACTGTACTGTTACTGGCGATTGGCCCACATCGCCTTATAAATATTCGATATCTAATTTAAAAACATTAGTTACTCGTACAAAACAATTTTTAGTGATGCAAAGAATATTCAAAATTTTCAATTTGTACATTTATAATTGCATATAATTTAAACATAACTTAAAATAACCTATAGGTATATTATTAGCATCATCGATTACTATAATAAGATTGTGATACATACAATGTCAATATTCAAAGTCAAACTATAGTCAAAATAATCAATTAATGTCAGGAAGAAAAAACAATAATTACAAAAAATAAAAAAAAACACTACAAATTCTTAGAAATAAAGTCCAATACATTATAATAATATTTTTTAATGAGGAGCTTTTTTAATTGTGACTTAATGTACTTTATAAATTTAATGGACACAATAGTAACTCGGACGCGGTTTCATTTTTTCGAGTGCACTTGGATGATGTTATGTAAACAAAATGGCGTCAACAAAAAAAAAGTAGAGTGAACGTGATACTATGAGGTTTGTGATTAAAAACGAGACTAAATTTAATACTTTTTTATTTATTTATTTATTCATCTTAATTGTACACCGCTACAGTATATATTGCACGGATATGGATGGACATCTACATTTTGGTATTACAATAGGTGGTCTGATCGCTCACGGCGATTTCTTACAGACAACCTTTACACGGATATTGTTTAATCGGGTTTAGGGCAGTCTATAGTGTACTTTATATTATAATGAATATATACTTAAAAATGAACATACTAAATACGCTTACAATATACATACTACTAACACATAGAAATCCATATAAAAAATAAATATATACAAAGGTTATAAAGGTTAATACACAAATCGTTTTTAACCTTGTGACGTACCAATTAACAAACAACTAAATTGTTGCAAGCATTCAATAAAAAAACCGGTGAGGTACGAGTCGAACTCGTGCACCACTCGTGCTCGTACCTACCCAGATTTTACGTAGATTTTCGCGAAAATCTACTTAAAATCCAAAATTTATCTTAATTTGCAACTTTTTTTATTTTTTGGAATTATTCCTTTATTTGTGCTGTAAGACGTTTCTTCTTGCCAAATTTCTTGATTCTGGGTCAACGGGAACTACCATATCTATAGGTTTTCGACCCAAAACCTATACGGTACTTCCGGTTGACCTAGAATTGTAGAATTTGGTTAAAGGCAAGGTCTTACACCGCAAGTAAAGAGAAAATTCAGAAAAATAAAAAAAGTTGAAAATGAAGGTCAATTTTAGTACTTACAAGTTTTCGCGAAAATCGAAATTTGCCCATATCTTTTTATCGTGTTGACTTAGGACCTTGATTTTTATACACCTAATAGGGCCCATAAACCTCAGTTTCTAGTATAAATTCCAACTTGCTAGGTCTATCTGTTCCAGAGAAAATCGGTGGTGACACACGGACAGACGGACAGACAGACAGACGGACAAGAAAGTGATCTTATAAGGTTTCCTTTTTTACCTTTTGAGGTACGGTACCCTAAAAACCTTGTTTTTTTAATAATCGCAATGATTTAGCTTTTCGGAATGCCTCGGGTAAGGTGTTCCACAGTCTAACTGCCTGCACCAAGAACGATTCATCACTAAATTGTATGGTATGCTTGGGCATTTTCAACTTCAGATTATCTGACGATCTCAGGAGCCTGCAATGTGAATTGTGTAAGAACTCAAAACGTTCTTTGAGATAAGACGGTGAATGTGGTAAGAAAAGAATACTGTATAACATAGAAAGGATATGAACATTCCGACGAAGGCGTATAGGTAACCATTTGAGCTTAATACGATACTCAGAGATGTGATCATATTTGCGTAAACCGAATATGAATCAAACATTTTGGAGACGCTCAAGTTTGTTCAATTGGTCTTCGGTGAGATCTAGATACCTAACATCGCCATAGTCAAGTATAGGAAGGAGAAGAGATTTTGCTAGGGCGATTTTGGTATCGGTGGAAAGGAAGTTACGAAGTCTTCGCAATGACCCCTCTGCAGCAAATAATTTTCGACTATCCTCCCCAATTTGAGGAGCCCAGGACAAGAACTTGTCTATGCAGATCCCAAGTGTTTTACAGTGTCACTTATTGGAATACTGGATCCATCGCAATATATAGTAGGCAGTTGTTGCCAATTTATCAAGGAGTTCATCCTAGGTTCGTTCCTACTATAATTACCTGAGTTTTAATTGGATTATACATTAGCTCACTGATTACTCCAGGTACATATATGTATCAAAATTTTGTTAATATCACTGATGGTATCGGATATTTTAACCGCACAAGCTTGAATATATATTAGGACAGAAAGATGAGGTCGTGATAGGAGAAGGAATCAGCAGAGCACTGGCCATGTTTAGGCACATGCTCTGGCAAGGAATGGCGGTTTGGCATACTATGTGTAGGATAGAGTGGTAGAATAAAAAGATTGTTATAATCCATGACAGATCGAAGAAAGAAAGAGAGAGAATCGTTCTTAAGTAAACAGTTGTTAAAGTTACACAGTCAGTCAAGACAGTCGACAAAATGCAGGCGATTCATTCGCGAGTCGAGGATTTGTATATGTATGTGTGGCATAATTTATCTGCCTGTCTTTTCCTTTTAGTTCCGTGGACGTGATTGGTGGCTGCTTAGGAATGAAATCGTTTTAGAAATAAAGTACATGACACAGATAAAGTGAAGGGAATACGGATTGAGCGAGGAAGCCACAGAATCACAACATAAAAAGCATCAGCTGCCAAAATGTCAAGTTTGTTGCCCCAGCAGTTTAGGCTCTGCTTTGGTAAATCAGACAGTCAGTTAAAGAAAATACGTTAAAATGTATAGAAAAGGCAATAAGACTATGAAAAATGTTAATGTTAAGAGAAAATAAAAAATACTTTAAAAAACAATAAATTTAATAGACGAATAGCCGAGATACAAAATTGCATATAAAATACACATGTACAAAGTTATAAATATAATATTCGCCACGTAAAACCATTTTTGCCTCTGATATGCCTTTTCGGTGTCCCTCAAGCCATCTTTAACTACATATTTTCTAAGGCCTAAGGCCATAACTTTAATAAATTGACCATAATTAATAGTAAATATGTCACAACTGAATATAGCCCTGTCTTTACCTGACATTCTGCATATCATGTCGGTGAGATTTTGGTCGCTAAAATACCAATCATTGTTTAAGAAATAGCAGAACACGTTTGACAACTTGTAGAATTTTTTAAACAATTGTCTGAATCTGAAATGATAAGAAAATCATCGTAAATTGACTAAAATTTCTGTACAGTAAAAAATTGTATGCTACGAATATTTTTTATTAGCATTGGTTAGGGTCGTGATTTTTGTTTTGTGACACATACTTCTTAGTTTTGATCTAGACACCGCTGCGTAATGTTAATGTATATACATACGAAATGTTTAAACTTAGCAGAGACTCGAGCGCTTAGCAGCAACGAACACGCAACTAGGAAAGTAACTAATAACGTAAAAAAACCGGTCAGGTTCGAGTCGAACTCGTGCGCCGAGGGTTCCGTACGTACCCAGATTTGACGTAGATTTTCCCTAAAATTTGTAAGTACCAAAATTTATCTTAATTTTCAATTTTTTTTTGGAATTAATACTTTATTTGTGCTGTAAGACGTTTCTTTTTGCTAAATTTCGTGATTCTAGGTCAACGGGAACTACCATATAGGTTTTCGACCCAAACCTATAGGGTACTTCCCGTTGACCTAGAATTGTCAATTTTGGTTAAAATCAAGGACTTACACAACAAGTAAAGAGAAAATTCTGAAAAATTAAAAAAATTGAAAATTAAGGTGAATTTTGGTACTTACAAGTTTTCGCGAAAATCAAAATTTGGCTATATCTTTTCATAGTGTTGTCTCAGGACCTTGATTTTTATACACCTAATAGGGACCATAGACCTCTGTAATTGGTATAAATTTCAACTTGCTAGGTCTACCCGTTCCTGAGAAAATCGGTGGTGACACTCGGATAAAGTATTTAATGTTCGAAACGAGATAAAAGTGGGCATTCATTTTTCGACGGTAGAACCATACAGTTGTGACAAGAATAAATCCGATTAAATCCAATTAATCATCGTTTAATTGAGAGATAAAGACAGGACTCCTTTATCTCAGAAGTGGGATAAGTCAACTACGCCTACAATTTTGAAGAAATCCAACTAAAAGAAAAAGAAAAAAAAAGGGAAACCTTGCGGTATTATCGTGCACGAAAGTTGCTGGTTACATCTGAACATAAAATGGATAAAACCAGCGTTTATTCAAAGGGCAATGAGCGGAAACGCCGTCGTGGCCGGAGTATAGAAACAAGAACAAGCGCTACACATAAGCGGAAGCAGCGAAGGCAGCGATCGAGCGATCGTGATGTTTCGTGGGAACCTCTTCGTAGGGGGAGTCACATTCACCGTGAGCAGCCTACGAGACGACGTGACAAGTATCGCAGTCGAAGTAGCAGCTATGAGCAGCGGCGGCAACATCGTTCCAGCCGAGGCGTGGATGAGAGACATAGCAGGCGAGACCGTAGCAGAAGCGCAGAATACAGGTCAGAGTGTCAAACACCTCCACGTCCTGGTCGCGTGAGTACCGCCAATGTTTAACCAGAACAGGTTCTCAGATATTTCCAATCAATCAAACAACAACCTCGTGAGCCAGATAGATCAAATTCAACTATGATAAGCGTACTAACATTACCTCCTCATTATCCAGTAATAATGTTAGGCAGACGGCTAATGGCAGTGAAACTAAGACTTTGAAGTTACATAATAATGCGTCAATCGCATGCTTTAATTGCAATGAACCTGGACATTACAGTTCTAAATGCACTAAAAAGATATTGAAATGTAATATCTGTTCTAAATTAGGTCACTTGTCAGTTAACTGTCCCAGATTACCTTCTGACCACGCTAATAATATTAATGAACCAAAAGAGAAGATGGTGATGTGCATTGAAACAAATAATTTTAATGACAATAAATATTTAATGAATTTGAAACTGAACGGTGTGGTTGTTCAAGGTTATGTGGATTTGGGTAGTCAGTGCGGCTGTCACAGTGAGGCTGTTGCGAGGGGAATCTCGTGGACTGATAGCAATTTACCGACCATGAGGGGTATAGGTGAGAGTATCGTAGTACCATTAGGAGTAGCAAACGTTATTGTTGAAATTCAAGGTATCGTGGAGGAAGTTAGGGCGTACGTTGTTAATGATAGTGTCATTAAATATTCAGTTCTAATCGGACACAGTTTCACAGAGAAACCAGGTATAGTTATAACAAAAACTACACGTTCGTTAATTTTTACTCGTGATAATGCCGTTAAATTACAATTAAGTTTGAAAAATGATATTATACTACCCCCTAAGAAAATGTACCCGTTACCGTGTATCACTACAAACAAATATTCGGGTGTAGTTCACGTTAGGGGCTCTTTACGCGGCATGCCTCAAAACGAATATTATTTGATGCCAGGAGAATATGAAATAGAGAACGGAGAGGTCAGGATATTGGTTCAAAACCTCAGTGATAGTACGGTTCGTTTAGGAAAAGATACGCTCATTACGCGAACGCCTTGTACTAGAGACTACTTGAGTGTAAATTTATTAGATTTTGAGAATGACGAGACTAATTCTGTTTTTAATTACGGCAAACAACTTAGCGAAAATGAGGTTAATAAATTAAAAGCCCTACTCAAAAAATATGAGGCGTGTTTCTCGGATAACCTAATGGACCTGGGGTTGACTAATGTAGTCCAAATGGAAATTGAAGTAACTGATTCGCAGCGCAGCAACCTTTCCGGAGCGTAGACAGGTTCAATCGATGGTAAAGGAAATGATCGATGCGGACATAGTGTGCGAGTCAAACTCACCTTATGCAAGCCCAGTACTATTGGTAAAGAAAAAGACTGGCGATAGCAGATTGTGTGTTGACTATCGTGCATTAAATAATAAAACAAAAAGGGAACACTATCCGCTACCCTTAATTGATGATCAACTAGACAGACTAGCTGGTAATTCTTTATTTGTAAGTTTAGACCTTGCGTCGGGCTACTACCAGATTCCAGTAGAGGCAAAGTCTCAAGATAAGACTGCATTTGTGACTCCCGATGGGCAATACCAGTTCAAACGCATGCCATTCGGATTGGCAAATGCTCCTTCTATTTTTCAACGGGCAATGAACAAAATATTGTCGAAGGTTAATTACACAATCGTTTTCATGGATGACGTATTGATCCCTTCACGGTCCTTTGATCAGGGAATGATACGGCTGGAGGAGGTACTTCAACTCATAAAAGACGCAGGTTTTACACTTAAAAAAAAATGTAGTTTCTTCTATTCTGAGCTGGAGTTCCTAGGATTTCATGTAAGCGGTGAGGGGATACGCCCAGGAAAGCGCAAAACCTTGGCAATAGAAAACTTCCCAGTTCCGCGAAACGTACATGATGTCAGACGATTTATCGGCCTAACTAGCTTTTTCCGGAGATTTGTGAAAGACTTCGCCCTTATCGCTCGTCCGCTAACAGACCTCTTAAAATCTAAATTCGAATGGAAATGGACGGCGGGGGAGGCGGAGTCGTTTAGAGTTTTGAAGGCAAAATTAGTTGAACGCCCTATATTAGCGTTATACGACCCCCAATTAGAGACCGAAATTCATACGGACGCTTCGAAGCTAGGTATTGCAGGTATACTCCTCCAGCGAGGTTTAGACGGTTTACTTAGGCCAGTAGCGTATTACAGTCGTAAAACTTCAGTAGATGAGCAAAAATTTCACTCTTTTGAGTTGGAGACCTTAGCGGTTGTCGCCACTTTAAATCGTTTCCGAGTCTATTTATTGGGGCTAAGATTTAAAATAGTCACCGACTGTAACGCACTTCGTACCACCTTAACTAAGAGGGATCTTGTACCACGAATTTCCCGGTGGTGGATCCAGTTTCAGGAGTACGACTGCGAAATTAAGTACAGACCCGGTTCGCGTATGGCTCACGTAGATGCTCTCAGTCATGCCCCTGTCAGTGAACCAACCGATGTGGACACGGAACATGTGTTGGATGTTTTACATATAGATGTTCGTGACTGGATCGCTACTGTGCAGGGTAATGATAGTGAGATAAAACGTATTAGAGACATCTTAGAAGATGACAAGACGAAGTTTGTGGCTGAGGTCTGTAAGAATTATCAATTGAAAGGCAGTTATGTGTATAAAATTTTAGACGAAGGATTGAGATGGGTAGTTCCGAGGGGTTGTAGGTGGCAAGTATTGCGCATGAACCATGATGAGGTGGGTCATTTTGGCTTCGAAAAGACCTTGAATCGTATCAGAAGTATATTTTGGTTCCCGAAAATGCGTAGGTTCACCAAGAAATACGTCTCAGCTTGTTTGGAGTGTGCGCATCATAAGGCACCCGGTGGTCCTAAAGAAGGAGTACTACATCCAATACCCAAATTAGAAAAACCATTCCACACGTTACATGCCGATCATTTGGGCCCGTTCATTCGCTCTAAGAGAGGCAATATGTATTTGCTTGTGGTTATAGATTCCTTTACGAAATTTATTAATATACGACCTGTAAAAGACACAAAAACGACTACTGCAATCAAAGTATTCAAGGAACACTTTAGCTATTTCGGCGTCCCTTCTCGCCTTATAACGGATCGCGGGTCTTATTTCACTAGTGCAAAATTTAAGAATTTTATAGACCAATTAAAAGTCAAGCACATTTTGAATGCAGTAGCTACTCCAAGAGCGAATGGACAGGTGGAAAGGTTTAACCGGACGATAATTGATGCTTTGAGTACAAAATGTCATGGCGGAAATGACAATATATGGGACGATTACATCGGTGACGTACAGTTAGGTATTAATACCACTTGTAATAAAACAACAGGAAAGAGTCCTTCTCAGTTGCTATTCGGTTGCAGACTGACGAATGCGTCGGAGAATGTATTGACTGACGTAATTGCTGAAACAACCGAACGAGTTGAAGGTGATGCGTTAGTAAGACTAAGGTCCAATGCTAGGGAAAGGATAGAAAAACAACAGGATTATGCTAAAAAGCAGTTTGATAAGCATAGGAAGGGTCAAACAAAATATAACGTAGGCGACTTAGTCAGAGTAGAAAGGACCGTAATAGACAAAGGTCATGCAGGTAAATCGCATAAACTCATCCCCAAATTCCAAGGCCCCTATCGAATCCTCAAAATATTACCTAATGACAGGTTCCTCGTCGAAGACACCCCATTAACAAGGAAAGGTAGCAAGAGGTATGAAAATATTGTTGCATTAGATAAAATCCATCCCTGGTTAAATTTAAAAAGGGTACACCAGTGAAAGCACTGACAGTGATCAGAGCGAGGACACAGAAATAGAAGCAGAGCGAGAATGATCAATTATCTGACTTAGTAGGCAAGAACAATAATTATTCAATTTTGGTCCCATAGTAATTCCAGATAAAACAAGATATTCCCCGACAAAACATTCATTATGCTAAATTACATTGATTAATCAACTTCCCTGATGATAATGAGTAGAGTTTGCGTGACATTATTAAGAACATATGTATATATCTATGTATGTCTAAATGAGCAATCAGTGCAGATAATGAATGGCATTGATGAACCAATGTCGCGCTTACTGATTGCAAGATAGTGAGTAAGATTAAATCATGTGAGCACAATTTGTCACAGAGGTCAGTGCAGATTTTGAATGGTACCAAGATAACGGTGCCGCACAGATGACCAAAGATGCGTGACTAGTTGAGCAAAAATCAAAGAATGAGAATGCAGATTCACGAGTTAGAACTGTGATGAAGATTTGTTATCTAGATAAAAATATGAATATAAATGAAGTTTGAAACTCTGATTATGATGAGAATTGTGATAGAGATATAAAGTATATAGTAGTTTATTTCTTTTTTTTACATAGTACATTTGAATTTATATTGTATAATGAATTATTGATGAATGAAATTATGTGTAAAAGCAAGAATTATGTACTTATAATCAAGATATTATCTTAAGTTGTTATTTTTTTGTTTTGAAGTATTATGTATTATCAAGTTGGTTATTTTAACAATGCACCTACACTAAACAAGTGAGAGGACTCACTTATACAGGATGGCCGAGCTGTAAGGTTAATAAGCCAAGATCTTTGTAAAATACTGTCTAGCACTAATATTTACAACCAAACTTAACATTATGATATTTACTCATTTAATTTGGTGGCTTTTAAATGAGTAAATATCAAAACACTAGTTATTAATAATATTATTAAATCTTAAATCTAAATATTTAATCGACTAATCCATCGTATCGAATCGATGTCAATCACTTTGATGGCAACACTCGGATAAAGTATTTAATGTTCGAAACGAGATAAAAGTGGGCATTCATTTTTCGACGGTAGAACCATACAGTTGTGACAAGAATAAATCCAATTAAATCCAATTAATCATCGTTTAATTGAGAGATAAAGACAGAACTCCTTTATGTTGTAGTGTTATCAGGAAACTTTCAAGTTTACTCATATTTACCTATCAAAGTTAACGGTTGAGTTAAAAAACACTCACCCCACACAATGCCTCGTTTTGTAGAACTAACAGAGTATATAGGAATTTCTTTGAGGGCACCATGTTTTCGTCTTTCGCACGTGTCCCACGTGGCAGCAATGATTGCGTAGTTTACATAGTCCACGGGCACTTTATTTAGTGTTTTGTCTGTTTCAACGGGGAACACGTGTAGAACGCCGAGTCCAACACCGATCATTAACTAAAAAAATATTACCAATGCATAATAATATAGATTATATCAATAATCAATCAAATAATAGAATAATGCATGATGCTTTATTTTTATTATTATTTTGTATTTTTTTATGAATGAATTAATTTATTTATTTATCTTTAATATGTATCTATTTAAAATATATAAGTATATTTATTAGCAGTCTGGTTACCATAGTACGGGCTCAGCCTAGTTTGGGATCAGACGGCTGTGTGTGAGATGTGTGAGACATATTAGATATTATATTTTGATATAGTTGCGGTTGGCCACAACTTGAAAATGTTTATTTCCACTTTAATTATAATTGATCTCCTATACTTTTGCAAGTTTTCTTAGAATATAGCATTTGTGTAACATCTTCAGCCAATGTAGCATTTGTACTATATCACTCATGTTAAACGAAATAAATTATTCTATTCCAGAAATTCTGGCGTGACGTTCTAGTTTTTTGTGGTATATACGCCCCCATGAACTAGGGACAGGAGGAGGGGTTTGTGTTCATGTAACCACTTACAGTGTCACTTACTTGGTGAAAGCAACAATAGTATTACTCAACCCCGGTTTTCTGTGAGGCAGTGCTGTCACTCCGGTCGAACTGACATTAACAAAAGAGTTTATCTGGGTTTTAGTATACTTACACCAGTAGGTCCATATATGGCGCTTAGATCTGACCACCCCGGAGAAGGTTCATAATATGCTGGTACAACCGTAAAAAAAAAATGAATATACTAAGTTGGAAAGATTTAATAACATCCTGCTGAATCTTTAATCCAAACATGCTCCTCTAAAAAAGTAAGAATAAAACATCCACCTGCACCTCGAAAAAATCAAGCAATATATGCCCAAACGGGATAAGGCCAAACAAAAATACTGATAAAAACCCTCTGAAGATAACCAGTCGGTCTACAAATCACTTCGGAACCGGTATAGTCGTCAGTATCGAGATGCTAGAAGGAGCCATATTCATCACTCAATAAAAATTTCAACACACAGAAATTGCCATTCCTGTGTATGGCAATTTCTAAAAT